AACGTGTGGCGACTGCCGATGCACATTCGTCAGCCGTCCGGCCTCAAAAAGGTCACCCGTGCACGCAGCCAAAATGCATTTATTATTACAAGGGCTTCTTCGATGCTGCCCCTAGTGGAGTAGCCTAAACAAGACTATAAGAGGAGTTTCAATGGTTACAGGTGATGGACGTCAGTGATGGTTGGCAATCATAGCAAAACACTCGAAACCAACAACTTATTTTGCATGTTAACCCTTATCCAAAGTCGCACGGACTTTTGATCAGCTGAAACGTTAACAGCGAAGAGCATAGGCAGAAAACAATTCCAGAACGGTAAGGAGTTTAAGAAACCAGGAAATTTACGTTACTCGTACAATTATGTACTCGTAGCAAGTTTCTTCAATTCAGCTGGCAGTGGCACGAAAGATGATGTTCACTCATCATTTTGCCGATCATCCTTTGCCACCCAAATAAGCACCTTAGAAAATTTTGTGACGTAAAGATTTTGTAGCGCAAACATTAATTGTAGACTTCGCAAGTGATTCTTCGAAGACGATTCGTGGGACCAGATCATTCGATTTACCGATACCTTAATACGCGGGATAATTATGTTCTGGGTAAAATAGCGCTGGTTTAATTTCTTAGGAGTTTGCTGTGATGCTGGAAGATAACTCTGCAGACGAACCAAAAGAACCAGAGCCCGAAGACTGTTCACCTTTCCGTTTGCGTTCCCTGCTAAACGAACTGGCTTTAACTGAAAGTGATTTATCCACCATTCTTGACCCTAGAGGACGGTTGACAACGTTTATTATTTCCGCGGTAATGGAAATTCTAAAAGCCCAGTTTCCCAATGTCGATGGGCTGGAATCAGTTAAATATTTAAACGAAAAGAGCGCATTGTCTGCTACACGAAAGTCTCTGTTTTTTCGTGACCGTCGTTTCCTTCAGATTGTGTATATCCATCACAATCACTTTGTTCTCCTCCAAGGAGTAGGATGTGAAGAGGGGACGAAATCGCCTTTCATTGTTAATGTCTTCGATAGTCTTGCGGTTGAGATGGGCCAAGCAAACGATGCTGAGCTAATTAGACTATGTGCTGCACTCGCAAACGCAACGTCGTCAGAAATCAAGATTCGCATGCAACCTTGTGATCAACAGCCTAATGGGACGGACTGCGGCATCTACGTCTCGGCGTTTGCTACAGCAGTATGCTACGGTCACGAGTTACGTTCGCTTACATTCTTGCGATCCGAGGTGAGTACACCAGTTATAAGTGACTTTACAGAAGTCCCACTGTGTTCATCAGTGATCTACTTTATAATATATGGAAACATTCAGTGGTTGTGATTATGCGAATTTCTTTCCATTAGAAAGTAATTCGCATAACCGCAATGCGTGCTTGCTGGCATATGGAATTTTTAAAAACCTGTACTGCGGTTTGATTTCTTAACTTATCTCACTTGTTAGAAAAAAGTAGAGTCATAGCATACAACGAAACCAAAGAATTATTATGCTTCTGCAAGGCAATTAAAATTTCCGGACGTATACGTTGCAGCGCACTGTTTTAAATTGAACCTTATGCTTCTGGTGACATCACGTCGTTCCATTACTTTTACATGGGAATATTTTATCTTTTCAGATGCGGCAACACTTACATACCTGCATCGTCAAAAAACTCGTCGTTCGTTTTCCCAGTTTGTCCGCATCTCATGACGCCCTGGAACCATGTACCAACGCAGAGAGATTTGTTTACCGCTTCCCCATTATTTGCAGCTGCAGACTTCCAGCTCCAGCTTCCACAAGGAATATATCTTCCACAAGGAAATGTCGTTTCCCCAGATGCCCTGTCAAGCAGTTTCATCGCGCCTGTGTTTCAAACCAGCGCACGATGGCGGGATCATTCGTATGTGACCTCTGCAAAGTTGCAAATTAAAACATTCTCCAAGCTGATTTTTTGTGACAACATGCTGAAGACCGTGAAATTTATTTTGTTGTGCGTCCCTTTTTTCTAATGCAATGTAGTTACTGTCATATTATTTCGTTACCTAACTCTTATCCAATAATTTTTCGCGAACAAATGTGCGAAAAATGTTTTGCGCAGTTATAAAATAGTCAAAGTCCGCGTAAAAGCTAAGAATTTTCAAAGCTAATCAGTATCGTAGTTCACCAGTATCTTAGCTCATCAACAGCCTTTGGACGATTGCATCACAAACTTTTTTGCGCAAATAATACTTTTGTTCGAAGTAAAAAGCGGATGCAATTGCATCAAGCATAAACTAATCGAGGCAGAGTGGTGGACAATCTTGGGCAGAAAAGCTTGATGACCTTTGCTGAAAGGTGGATGACCTTTACAGAAAGGTGGATGACCTTTGAAGAAAGGTGGATGACCTTTACAGAAAGGTGGATGACCTTTACAGAAAGGTGGATGCCCTTTGCGAAAAGGTGGATGACCTTTGGATAAAGGTGGATGAGCGTTGCAGACAGATGGACTACCATAGCAGCATTCAATAAAGGTGCTCTAATGTCTTTTACTTCAACTTGCTTTGCTGTCCATGGTCCAGAACTGAGAATCCTAGACCACAGAACGTTGCAAAACTGTTAGTAATAAAATGCTCATACAACCCGTGCAAACAGGGCACGAAACGAGGACGTTACCAAGTTTTCGCTTAGCTCGTAGAGCTGCGCTCGGTTCTGCCAGAAACTAAGTTACCGAGTTTTCGCTAAGCTCGTAGAGCTGCGCTCCGTTCTGCCAGAAACTAATTAGACACATCTAACTGGTAGAAGCTACTAAGCAGGACAGACTCTACACTCAGTCTACAGTATGGCTTCGGCACTCTGAAGCCATATTCTGAGGGGAACTAGTATTCATACGGAGGAAATGTCCCCAAATGTACACCATGGCCCCGGTTTTAAATCATGGGATAACACAAACGGCTTGGCATAAAATGTGTCTGGGATTGGGCGAAAGATAACAACATATCGCTCCGAGAGTTATTTATCAGATGGATATCAATGATTAGAAGTTCAGCAAAGTTGTGATGAATCAGCTTTATAATCAGCTTATAAATGATAAGACAGCAGCAAGTTAACACGTTCGACAAAAGGTGGATGACCTCTGAAGAAAGGTGGATAACCTTTACAAAAAGGTGGATGGAAAAGGTGGATGACCTTTGCAGAAAGGTGGATAACCTTTACAAAAAGGTGGATGAGAAAGGTGGATGACCTTTACAGAAAGGTGGATGACCTTCATTGAAGATCCACCATCCACCCGTCCACCTTCCTGCCGGCTACAGGCGCATCATAAAATTATAACACAGCCAGTACAAACCTTTTTCGGCGGCGATCGTAAGGGCAAATTCGGCAGCCGTTCCGGTTTCATCGTAATCATCCAACTCGATGCTGGAGTTTACTTATGGTCGTACGTTCCAGGATTTGGTCAGCTTTCGGGAGGGGTCCAAAACCTGTAATAACAGCACAAAATAATGTCAAAAATAATCGAAAAAATGAGATTATCTGCATATTGACAGAGATGGCGAAAAGTGTTTGCGCGCGCAGCAAGGGAAAACGTTTGTATAATCGTTTCGGTGTTGGATCAGTAACACATGCAGCCCAGAATTAATGCAGGCCTAATAAACAGCTTAAAAAGCACGCCCGGCGATAGCATTAGCTTAGAGTACGAGTAAATAATTTCTATTTTATTAGCAACACCACAACCACGGAAGATATTTCATTACCACACAAGCAAAGTAGGTGCAGGACATACAGTCACAAAACCACAACTGCACAGCAAGCCAACAAAAGTGCGTAACCGAAGAAACTATAAGTGATAGCAAATCAGAAGAGAAATCAAATGGGCAAGTGGGAAAGGAAAGTAGTGGAAAACATACAGGAATTATCGCATAATCATTCATACTGGCATGTCATGCCTGGCGATAAAATATAAAACTGAAACAGGAGCTCCTCTCTCAGTACCGGCGCACTTCGCTCAAGCGCAGCATAAAACTCCGCCCGGAATTACCCATATGTTCGAACACCTATAAAACCAGGATGAATTATTTTGTGCCCACTTTTGTGCATGCAACAGCAACAGTAATAAGAGGCCAAAAATATTAAAATTTAATCATATATTATTAAAAATTTTTATTTACCTGACAAACCAGTCGGTCGACATTATCAGCCGGCACAAGATACATCTGTCCCAGCGGCCCAGCGGGAGGGAACGCTGGTTTCTCGTTTCTCAGAGTACAAAAAAATTGAATTAAATGTACATGTTGACAACGTTTTCCTCGGCTCGTAATCTCCTCGCGCGTGATGCTGCCTGATTCGTTGAGCAAATCTTTCACCTCGCGTTAAATAGTGGCCACCTGCAAATTCCAGGTCTCATGTCAGTTCAAAATAACAAATCTAACAGCATATTGCGCTAAGCACCAAAAGCGATTAAAGAAAATGAATACAAACTTGAGCGATTAAGAGTTTTACGAATACTGAAAGCGGGTCGACTAAGAACTTGGACTCAGAACGCTACTGTTGGCCGATTTGAAGCCACCTCCTAGTGAAAGTTTTTAATCACTACCGCTGGAAAAACGTCCGATTAACGGAATTCGTGAATTTCTTTAATCGGATGGCAACAGACAGATTAAAATGCCCAGCAAATAAAAAGTTTCTCTGGGACTACTTTTTAATCACTTTTCTTTAATCGTTCAAAAATAGCGCATTCCCCTGTAAGTACTTACTTACCTTCAAATGAAATTATCCTTTCTCCGGTCTTCGTGAGCACTTCAAGGCCTTGTGTTCCTAAACAAAATAAACGGCTCGGAGAATCTTGGTCTAGAACCGACGTGTTTTCAGTACATACCGGGGTCGGGCTGATGGCAATTGGCCCCGGTGTATCGTCGACGGATATTTCGGACCTGGCCGCATATTTCGGATCTGGCGGGGGATGCGCGCTAAAGCGCTGGACATCAGCAACAGGAAACATTCTGCAGTTCAGATATCAGTGTTCATACATACATCAGCGTTCGTTGGATTCAGTCAGACCGAATATCAGCCGGAAACGGATCTGAACATCACAAATTTTCTTTTTAAAATTAGAATAAATACAAGTACAAAAACTAATATTGAAATCACCGGAGCTCCGAAATCTTTTTCTTAAGCAGCTTATCATGGGAAGATTTCTACTGTTTCGTAAAGCTAAATAAGTGTTGAGAACAAGCGGCTCGAAACATCAAATCCTACCCTCCTAATATAGCACCAAATTTACAAATTAAAAGGCAGCTTTTCTAACTGGGCGCAATTGTACCTTGAGTAAACCGCTAACGGGAGCTCAGCAAGAACCGGTATGCCTCGACGAAATAGGCAGGCTGCTGCACTTGTGACTTGTCCTCCAGAAACGTTCCACAGTCGTCGCGATCTGCAGCAAAAGCCCAACTCAACACAACGCAACTCACACAATTCAAGGCCATCAGAAAACTCGCGAACACAGACTGAACACTACCAATAACTCGTGCCACACTGATCAGTCGCTTACTCCACAATATTACGGTTGCACGAGCGTGAAGATGATCGATCCAAGACTTTAAAGACTGAAAAACTCTAGATAAATAGAAGAAATTGTAGAACTATCGGAGCTCCGAAATTTCCAAATAATTCTAGTTACAAACAGCACGAGGCGCACAGGCACTATGCAGTAACGTAGAACATCAACGGCTGGTTGAAAAGCTTTGAGTGTTTTTGATTTTGACAGTCAAAAAGCATGCTTCAGCATGAATGTGTCAGCTACAGCGCCCTCTGCCCACTGAGCGTGACACGTGACCGTGACGCACTTCCGGTGGGCTGAGACAAGCGAAAACTGCACAAGTTCACGCGCTTACATTTTTATTAACGCCACTTAAAGTAATTCTCGCGACTATCCCCGAGAATTTCTGTATGTAAGCGGAACAAGTTATTATCGGCAGGGTCCGGAGTAATGTATGAGTTGGATTATCTGTAGTGTGATATGTATTTTGAGTGCTTACTGAAGAGAATGGAACCGGTGTTGAAGGAACTTGCAACCAAGCAATAAAAGCACACAACCATTGCGTGCGTGGATGCACTGAACTTGACTTTTGTCTTTACCTCAAACTAAAATCGGCTGCAAATTACAATAGCACCTAAACGAGAGTCAGGCAACGCCGTCGCAGCGGAGCCCCGTAACTGGATCGAGCAAAACTCGGCAACCATGAGGAATGCTGGCAGAAAAAAGCAGACAATGTACTGAGAATACGAGAACGACAATGAATATGTTAAAACAGGTCTTGTAGATATTTTTGCATTATATAAGCGGTCTGTTCAAGCCCCTTCGCAGAGATGCCGGGAAAGTCAAAAGTTAAAGGTGACGTTGGAGTGTACTACGGCACGGTTGCGTGAAGTACGACGGTTATAAATGCCATCAAGAAAAAGAATTTCGCAACAAGTAACTTTGGCTACAAAGAAATTTCATGTTCACGAAGCATAGCGGGTAACATGGAAATGCAATGCATAAACTACTGCTAATGTATTCGACATATGCAAAGGGTCGCACTGTACTGCGGTCGGTTATAAGTTCCATTATTTGTACAATCCTTTCAGCAACTCTCTGAGGGCGATCTCGATTTGAGTATTCCATTTGAACCACACTGGCAGGGTTTTTACGAAGCTCTCAAACACACGATTTCTGTATCTGCACCGTTAGAACACAACTGACTGTGCAAATTTGCCTATCAGGTGGGAATTTTGGCTCGACATTTGAATGCTGCTGATGTGCGACGCTTATACAACATCCAAATTAATGTTTCTCGTAATTTTGTTTTATTTCCCAGTGGAAATTTTAAGCAAACACAATCCTTTGTGTCGAACATCAAGACTGATAAAACAGAGTACTTGAAGAATTACGGTGTACTCTGATTATAAGTTTACCCTAATAATTGATTCAATATTTACGCAGTTATTATTGAGCCGGTACATGATGTGAATGGTTTGAAACCGGTACCGGTACATAATGGGAATGGTAATATTTAAAATTCTAGCCGTAATACACCACCTACCAATCACATTATGTAGTACAATGGCACAAGGCAATACAAATTCGATCAATGGGAAATACTTCTTATGTTATAAAGGGGAAAAACAAGCCTACTTGAACCGTTCCCCTGTACTGCTGCCGCTACAGTAGACTTGTTTTGCCCCCTGTATACTGCAAACCGTGGAAAGTATTTGTACAGATATCGCGCACAGTTCTTCCGGTAACTGACTTGATTAAAGCTTCGTTTTTAACTAAATACAATCACTAAGAAATAAGAGGGGATGTCAGTGGCTCACCTAGATAATCCCCTGTACTGCTGCCGTCAGCCGCCTGGAGTATGACGTTGTGGCTATACATGGTGCTTATGTGCCGCGCCTGATTTAACCATATGTATTGCCATAACGTCACACTCCAAGCGGCTGACGGCAGCAGTACAGGGGATTATCTAGGTGCGCTACTGACACCCCCTCGTATATACGTGTATTATATACGCATAAAGATGCAAAATGGAAAGAAAGGCTAGACATATCGAACGCATACAAATTTCCGACATATCCAATATATTTTTCTGGAATTTTCTGGACTTTGTCAGTCATTTGCACTTTTCCAATCCTCTTTGCTACTCTGTGTACGGACTCGAATAATGTCACGCGCATCGGCGCACGCCCTGCTGAGAACTACCTGATAAAGCGCAATGTATGCAATTTTTGCTCAGATGGACATCCTGTTCCGTAAATAGGTATTATACAAATTTAGTAACATTTTAGCAATAAATTAATTAAACAATAAGTTAAACAACTTTACGAAATAGAGCTTTTTCCATGAATTGGTGCCGGTTTGGGAGAGCCGCACCAGCTAGGTACATGCTTAACGTAACTATCGCTTCCTTCGTCATTCAAAATTTGTTTTTATGGCACTAAGAACGAGGATTCAATACGAGTTTTTTTATTAGCTTAAACCTTAATAAATTCGCTTCGGAGGGTAAAGAATTTAATGTTTAACATGGATTCTTTTAGGCTGTTTTAAATTACTAGCGACAACGAGTAAATACCAGTGTGTTTGCGCATCTAGTTGGTAAATAAATGTGGGATCGCAGAACAAACAGATAAACCAGTGAACAAAGTTTTTAATCTCCGGCTGGTACGTTGCTTTCTGCCGTTTCGCTGCGGGAAAGGTGATGATAGTTAATGTCACCTGCTGTATCAAATCTCCAATGCAATTCTCGTTTCCGCAGGCTATCAACTGGAAGCGATCGATCGAACCTGACTAAAAGGCTTTTATAAAAGCATGGTTCATCAAGCAAATAATGGCGCACAAGTTTCCTACTAACAGGGAGATGATCCGGCTTCAGAGTGCACTGCAGCCTGCCGCTGGGGATTGATATACTGACGGAATACGAAAGCTATCGACAGAGGCCGCATTGTTTACACAGTAACACAAGCGCTTCCTGGATGCAGAATATGGAACGACGGAGCTCCTTTCTCCAGTTTGTGATGTTGGAATGCCGCTGCAGGAAAATGTTTCAGCTGCAAAGTCTTCTTCATGTTCCCCGGTCAACACCGCCGCAGTGTCGAAGTTTGTCTGGCAGGATTGTGGATGCGGTTCCTTGATTTTAATTAAACTTTCGCATTTAAGCTGTTCTAGTCTACGGAGAGATATATGTGAAAAATTGACTGACCATGCTAATTCCAAGGGTAATTGCCACAAAGACACCTGAGACGGGGCAACACTTGTGCCGTCTCCGCTATCTTTACGGTAGTCATCCGGGTTTGCTCTCGGTCGTTCCGCAGTATTCAAGGGAACGCGTAAGAATAGTTATCATAATATACAAGTACAAATCTTCACAGCAAGTGTCAATTTAACACTGTCTAAAGCTGGATCCAGAATGGATCCAGAGACGGAAACAGAAACGGAATCTATCCCGTGGAGTGAGCTATGCGATAAGTATAGCGAACTACGCGGAAACACGAAACGTCGCACCGCTAATAGCTGACTTTTAATAATATTGAAAATTCCGACAATCGAAAATCAATAATGATCGGCGCAGCTCGATCATAAAGCGTGGAGCTCATTCAACAGTGTGTAACGCTGTGCAGCACGTGCTATGCCGCGCCCACTAACACAACTCAAGCCAATCAGAAGAGACACAACACAGACACGTAATCCAAAGGCGTAGCGCCACAGGCGTAGCGCCACTGACGTGAATGCTAGTGATCCCGGTCTCACATGCCTCTGGGGGGATGCCGAGCTCCTGTGAGGCTGGACACACTCCCGAATCCACGAGAAGACGACGGTCGCCAGTGTCTGTGCGTGCTCAAAAACATCAAATTCTCTTATTCCATTTTATCACATCAATTCCATAAAGGCACAATTTCATTTAATACGATGTGAATAAAGAGATCCAATTATAAAAATACTATCAAAAACAGATCAACAGTTAAACAGATCAACAAAAGTTTTTAATCGAATGTAGACTAGGATCCTCCATTTCTGACTCGTAAAGGTCACAGGTCCTGTCCACCGTTTTCCGCACTTTGGCCCATTCCGCTCTGTTGAGCAATCCTGCGCATCCATAATGCGACTTTTCATCACAATCCGCTTGAGAATCAGTTGCGTATCAAGTACGGCTTAGGAATACTGCTTCAATCTTTGGAATAAGGTGCGTATCAATTGTACGACTTCAAATGAGATCCATAAAGGTCATGGAGGGACGTCATGTAGACAAGCGTAGTTCGCTTCCTCCCTGGTAAAGGTCATCCTTTGTTGAGATGATCCGTTGAGATGTGCGACTCATTTTGGGTTAATGGTCCCAAAGGTCATGCGACTTCTGTTCCATTACGGTGACTCTGTTGGGCAATTGATGATCCCAAAGGTCGTCCCGCTTCTGTTCAAACTTCCATTAAAGGTCATGGAGGGACTTAGCCAATTTTCTGCGGCTTTCAAGCACCTCTTTGCTTGCCTCCCTGGTTAAGACTTGATTTGACCTTTGCGTCGCACATCCAACTTCAACATGCCTCGAGCGGCCAGAGCGCCGGCGAGTTTACCGTAGCATCTCTGATGGGGCCGGCTAGTTACCGCATTGAGTTTACCCCATGAAATTTCCACATTTAATCTTTTACTCTTGTTCGCCGCTTGTGGCTAACATTACTACGAGAAATCCGGCCTGGTTACCGTAGTTTTTCTCGTTTTAATTTTGACACTGAATCGCTTAAAAAGAGTGCCGGCACAGTTTACCGTAACAACTCTAATGAGGCCGGCTGGTTGCCGCATTAAGTTAACCTCATCAAATTCCACCTGTTGTCTTTCTCTTTTTCGCCGCTTGTGGCCCACTTTCGTCTTCAAGAGATCCGGCTTGATTACCGTAGTTTCTCTTGTGCATTTATAACACTAAGTCGCTTAGAGAGGAGGGCCGGCTAACTGCCGTAGCAACTCCCTTGGGGCCGGCTTTATAGACCGAATCAATTTCAACCCCAATAGATATTCCACATGATTTCTTTAGGCAATTCTGTGCTATAAACGCTGCAAACAACAAATACACGAATACAGTTAGTGTTAACATGTCACATGTCACG